CTGTTGAAACATAAATGATGTGTTTAAAATTGTTTAATTGTTTTAAATATAAATACACTCCGGAGTGCCTTGTTACTGAGCTGTTTGCCCTTACAGTCTAGAATGTTCTGGGAAATGTGAAACTTCTCTTCTTTTCCCCCTAGTTTTTTGGACCGTATACAAACAACACCCTGTTTGAAACAGATGAGCGTTACCGGCACCTGGGATTCTCCGTTGATGACCTTGGCTGCTGCAAAGTAATTCGTCACAACATCTGGGGTACTCACGTGGTTGTAGGAAGTATTTTTACTAATGCTGAACCTGACAGCCCCATCATGAGAAAGCTGAGTGGAAACTAGGAACTGTCAGTTTTACAATCCATGTTTGACCCCTGCGTTCTTGTTGTTTCTCTGTAAGCATTGTCAGGAGATGCCATGCTCGGTAGTACCTTACATGGATAATAAAGCGTCTGTTATATATTTTAGTCTTTGTGAAATAAGTGTTCATCACGTGATCTAGAATATTGACAATGTTTTAACAGATACCAACACCTGTCACATGAATTCTAAGCTGTAAGTTTCCTTCCTCTTGAGTGAGTTTGAAAATATATGTACATGTTTAGCTTTTTTGTTTTTTTAAAAAAATATTGCAAACCACTCTGTTTTATCTTTCAGTGTCTCTGACAAATTTGTACCCTGTGCATTAAAACTTATGGGAATAAGGTTAATATTTTGGATGTTATCCCAAAATATAGAACTTGGAGCAGTGACTGTTGGACTAATCATTCTTTCACTGCTCCAAGAAGAAAATAATGAGAGAAGTTCTCAGCAATCTGTATCTGTGAGTAATCCTTAAGTAAGGAAATGTTCCCTTGATTACTACATCCAGAGACTCTTGATTAAAAAGTCTTAAATTACTCTAGAATTAGTCATCTCTTTTTTTTTTTTCTTTTTTTTTTTTCTTTATGGTGCTTGGGATTTTATTTTATCAGTGCAGGAGCTAAATACATTTAATTAGTTTATATATTCAAATGCAATTTAAAGATACTTTTGTAACTTTCTTAGGTCATTAAATACATTGCTTTCCAAAAAGATATTGTAATGGCAATAGCTAGATCCAAGTACAGGAAAAAACACTGGTGATAATTGTGATTTGTCTCTGTAATTTTGAAATGCCTGAGCAAATGGCAATTATGATCAATTACGAAAGTATTTCAAGAGGAAGGTTTCAGTAAACAGCATCAGGCCAATTCAAGTTACCGGAGAAAGAACCAGGGGAAAATTCAAGATGTCTGAGATTCCAAAACTCTGTGTCAGCTGCCTCTCCACAGAAACTAAGCAACAACCTAGATTTTAATCTCTTGGTCAATTATCAGGGCCACTTGTTGATACCCGGCTGCTGTAACGGTGCCAGTTTATGCAACAATGAGGATCCTTTAGCATCGATTCAGTCAAAATTTAATGGTGCTCTTGTCTGGATGATGGCTGCATAAGATGATGCTTGAAGAGATTTAGCTTCCTTTCAAGAAACTAGGGCTTTTTTCATCGTGTCTTTTCCCTATGTTGACAATTCTGTATTTAAAACTTCTCTTCCCTGGGTTTGTATACATCTTCTGTTCTCTACCTGGGTTTTAACTCTGTTAAATCCATTAAAACCAACACAAATATTTTGGTGATGAGCCAAATCCCTGACACAAAGTGCCTGCTATGTCCCTGTTAGTGATTGTAACAATCCCACACCTTTCCTGTGTTGTGGAGGCAGCAGCAGGGAAGACTCCCAGGGAGAACTGAGCCCTCCCTAGGTTGAATTCATCATCACAAAGCCTCCAGCTGAGAGTTTAGCCTCCAGTTAGAGTTTATCTCCTGCCTGCATCTGTCATTGCTGTTGGTTCCAGCCTGTGCACGCTCCAAGGTTGAGGTATATGGGTGCTTTGTCATGGGGACCTGACAGCCCTTGACATTCTCTTCTGTCCCAGAAGCCTGGTGGGATTCAATCCTTTTGGATTCATCCTCAGAGGAAGGTCCAAAAATACTTGAGCAGGTTTTTGTGAGGATGAGGTCCGAAAAGAAATCCTCAAATAATCCAGAATCTGCAAAATGTCAGTTTGCAAAAACAACTGAAACAATGATTTTTGCAGAATGCAGATTACCTCATTTGACAAAAGAGGGTTTGTCTCTGCATAGTAAAAATAACAGTTGTAGGAGGCTTCAGTGGATAGATACTAAAAAACACAAATCCTGTGAAATTGTGCATGTATTTTAACTGCCTTGGAGACTGTTAATACTATTTTTTTTCAAGTGACTTTACTGTGCTTGCTTTTATATATTTTAGAATGCAGAAAAACAATTTGTCGGGCAGCTATCCAGATTAAACTGTGGACGTTAGATTTTGAATTCATATCCTTCAAACTTTCATGTTGGAAAGGTATAGGGTGGCCTTTAAAATGGCTTCAGCCAGAGGCAGAATCTTGTCCTGTCTGAAGATAGTTTTGTCTTGATGTCTCTAGTATTTCATGACAGAAATGGAGGGGAGGTAAGATTTCCTGGTATTTTTCTAAATGATAACTTTTTCTAATACTTACATAGTAAAATTCTCCAAAGAGGCTAGTACTGTTCCAATTTTACTTCCCTCTATCAAAAGAATTATTGTATATTAACTTTCTACTGTGAAATAAAAGTTCTTGAATAGAGTGTAATTAACTTCTGATAATAAAAGATTTTTTTTTTAACTGTTAAAAGTGTTTTTTCTTTCTATGGTAAAGAAAAGTAAAAACATGAGAAGTGCTGTTATAAAGCCACATGTCTCTTAGGAAGGATTGCTGTTTTATGGGAAACACTATTTCTGTTACCCTGAAGATGCTGATAACTTGTAAGAGTTGTGCATTCATTACTACATATGGCAAGTTTTTTTTGTTTTTTTTTTTGATAAAGTCCATAAAAGTTGTTTGAAGTGATGATGCTAACACAATTGTGATGTAGTTACACTGATAAACTCACTCACATACATAGTGAATATGCTTAAAAATGATGCTAGTCTATAAATTACTTATATTAACCAGAAAGCTAAAGAACTTTATAGATGTTTGTTGCTTAGGTGGGTAATGAAGAAAGAACTTAAGCATGAGCTTCAGTTTCTATTAAGGGCAAGAAAAGTAACTGGAAATAGCTTAGCTGCTGATTTGACATCAGTTGCTGTTTCTTGCTTTGTTTCTTGTTTACTGCTCTTGCAAAGCTTGTGCTTTGGGCACGTATATGCTTAATTGGAGCCTGTTAGGGCTCCTTTTGATTTTATGGTTTTTAGTGTTAAGTTACTTTGGGAAGGAAAAACTAGTCTGATGTGAGCCATTGACGTGATTAAATTCTTCAGCAGCACGGTCCAGAAGAGCTGATGCCACTATTGCTAATGACAGTTGCTTTGACAGGATTTTAATTTAAAATTGTGAAAATAAATTTGTAACCTCGCTTAAAAGTTGAACAGAGATTAAATACCCAGAACAAGGCATTGAGAGAAGTGGTGAGCTCATAGGCGGAAAGAGGTGTGTGCTTCTCCCAGGGAAGACAAAACTGTTTGAGCTGAGCCCAAATTAGGAGATGTTGCTTGATTAATTGAATCAGTAGAGGGAGATGCTGAATTATCTTGAGGTCTCCCACACTTTGGGATTCTCCAAGAGGCCCTGGCTGCATCCTCTTCCCACAGGGTCGCAGATCTTTCCCTCTGAAGACTCAGATCCTCAAGTCTGGACACGAGGATAGCTGATACGTTCATGATGCATCTTCAGGTAACAGTGCAGATTCTGGTACTTAGCTTCGTATTAAACAATACTGAACTTGCAAGAGCACAAATACATTTTAAACCAGTCTTTCTCCAAGTGACTAAGTGTTTTATATAGAGCATACCCTGTGGAAGGAATGAGTAAAAATACTATTAGCAGTGATGTAGAACTGCAATAGCAAAATAATTGTCACCTGCTCCCGTGTGCCCTGTTCTTTCAAGGACTCTTTTCATTAAGGGTCACTTCCACAGCCTCCATTTTTGTGCTGGATCCTCAAAATAGTCTACCAAACTGGTGTTTTGTGTGCCTGCATTTGCAGAGAACAGGGTGCTGTGTGTCCTGGTGCTATTCCAGCAATCTGAAGTATGGAATGGCAATACGGTTTTTATGCACTTGGTGGCTTTAACTCAACGCTTTCCAAGCTCTCCTTTTTGTCATCTCTGCTTTAGCAACAGAGCAGGGCTCTGTGCAGTTTGCCTGCTGGCCTGAAAAAAAAATAATCCTGTGGTCAAAAATGTATGTGGGGAATTGCCTTAGTATTGTTTTTGCATCTGTAAAATCACATCCTAAGTGTTGATAAAGGCATCATTGGATGCATGGCCTATGGAGGCTTCCAAAATGCCGTAAGGTGGAGGTTCCTTACTAGATGCAGTAAGGAGCATCCAGTTCTGTTCCGTTATCATGACGCTGCGTTGCAAGATGCGCAGCGCACGCTGCTGAAATCGCCTCCCTCAGCACGCAGGGAACTTCTGACACCACCATGTCAGCACTTCACAAAACTGCTCGAGTGATTGCGTGCATGACGTGAAATCCTTCTCTTGCTGTCCGGCTAGGTCTTAGCAGGTAATTATAATTATTAATGTTATTAATGATAATTATTGCATGTGATACCAAATTAATGCCAGAGCTATCAAAAACTGACTGGTGGAGAGAGCGAAGCCTGCCTACGTGGATCCCTGGAAGTCCTGGTGAGTGGAGAAGAGAGAGTTGAAACGTTTCCTGGGGTTCAAAATGAAACATCGCATATATAGATTTTTTTAAATATTCATTTTCTAGAAAAGTAGGACATTTTTACAGAAAAAAAAAATTGCTTCAAAATAAAATATACCTTTTCTCTTGCACAAGGTCCATAGCTTGCACATCCATATTCAGGGCTCTTGATGATGTCTTACTGAGTAGATACTCAAGCAGTACCTGATACTGTATCAGGTTTTTTTAAAAAACTCATGTCAGAAACAAGGTATGTTCCGGTTATCACAGAGCTCCAATTGGTTGTT